CTTTCTCAGCAGTTAACTCTATATAATGGTAGTTGTGACCTAAGCCCCAATTGTAAGTTATTTTGAAAGCAGGTAGACACAGGCATAGTTGTGCTTCTGTGGCTTTAGGCATAAACCATGACATAACTTCCATGTCAGTGTTCAAGAAAGATGAGTTCTTGGTCTCAGGAAAAATAACAGGAAGACCAAAGAGGCAAAAGGTTTTTTGTAAACACAGTCATAGGGCTGATACTTACTTGGCACTCTCTCCTTTACGGTAGGTCCTGCTTTGCTGGTTATTTGTGGAAGAAACTGTGGATTGTGTTTATAAAAATAACTTCTTACTTTTAACTGAAGATGTATTTTGGGAGAAACAAGTTTTTAAAACATTCCTTCACTGCTGTGACAAAGTAAAATTAAGGCCCCAGGATCTAATGAGAGCCTGCTACAGAAGCTGAGGGGATGGGGAGAAGGCAGTGTCAAAAGGGCACGTGCATCACTCACCGAAGAAGAGACCTTTGACCTTCGCATGTCACTCAACATTCCCTTACAGTGGGGTGGGAACCCACCTGCTCACCTCATGCTCAGTTCTGTGGAGTTCTATGTGACCTGTGAACGTGACCTTGCCCAGGCCTGTGATTGACACAGGGACCCAGGAATGGGGTTCTGGATGTGATAGTGACTAGACAGGGCCATGCTATGGCTCCAGACCTCTGGATATGATGACTCCACTGACCACCATGTCCTTAAATATTTCACATATTTTATAGACGATTAACTTTCTTTTTTTTTAGGCCTTTAAATTCTAATCTGAGGTCAATTTTAGGATGGCTGTGTTGACTTTATTACATTTCTCCTTATTGTTTGTGGACAGAGGCAGGCAACATGCTGTTCCAGTTGAGTGGTTTAGCCTATGGAGGAACTTACCACACCCTGTGCCATCAACAGTTCTGACATGGCTCTCTGTATACCGCCACAGGAAGGGGGCCTCTTGGTCCTGGCTGCCCTGCTAGCTTAGTCTCGAAATAATCACACAGAAACTGTATTAATTAAATCACTGCTCAGCCCTTAGCTCTAACTTCTTATTGACTAACTCTTATATTAATTTAACCCATTTCTATTAATCTGTGTATCACCACGTGGCAGTGGTACGTGGCAGTGACAGTGGCACGCCATGTGGCAGTAAAATTTCCAGCATCTGTCTCCCGTGGATCCATGGCTTTTCTCCCCACTCTACTTTCTTCCTCCCAGAATACAGCCTAGCTTTCTCCCACCTATTTTGTTCTTTCCTGCCATATGCTCAAAGCAGTTCTTTATTAATCAATGACAAAAACACATACACAGAAGGACCTCCTATATCAGTTTACTGTTGTTTATGTTGAAATTTTTAGATATATGTAACTAAATTCATCCCATAGGACATTATTTTCTATTTGTGTTTACAAAAATCTTTTTGATAGCATTAAACCATTTATCACTAGGTCATGTTTAAGAACTATGAATGTCCAAAAGCAATGGTCTCCTTTGAGAGGTAAATCTAAGAACCAGGCTTTCTTCTCTCCCTCCAGAAACATCACTGTCCACTGACCAATCTATTAAGCTGTGGGTATGCATTCAGCGAGTCCATTCTGACTTCAATTGTAGCAGTTTCTGAATAGTATATTTTCAATTCTTTTTCTAAGCCATGTATAATGTTCACCTTTAAAATACAGTTTATACATTCATAAGTTAGGGTAGAAAACTCTTTAGGCAAGTAAACCCATACAGAAGGAAAAAAGAAATGAGAGTTTGCATATGAAAGAGAAATTATTAGTAGGAAAATGAAAGACATTTTCTTAAACTTTGGGACATATCCAATATGCAATAAATTTCTCTGCATATGTTCTCTCAACAATGAATGCTTGTGCATATGATGTCAAACATGAGAACTGTTTTTTTTCTTTCTTTTTCTTTATATTTTCACCAGTTGGTTCACATTCTTATAATATCTTTAGAAGCTACTTTTGCTACAGATTAAGGAGTAATTATTATACAGGTGAAGTTAAATGGGCACGAAGTTTAACTTTGTACTGAGCATGATCCTGGAATCCTTTCTAACAAGAACCTGTTCAAGGCCAGAACTTACATCGTGTTTCTTGTTCACCAGAGATGAACAAGATGTAAGCTCTGGCGTTAGCCATACCACATGTTCCAACATGATAGCTCCAACTTTATTATAAACTAAGTTTATGACTGTATTTTTTATTATATGGATTTTGATTTTGTGGATTTTTTTATTCAAAAGCTTTTGCAAAAATATTTTGCTTTATCTTTATATTAACCCAAGTTTCATCTCATGTGTGGATGACTACTATTTCAACATGACTTTTTCATTTCTATTTTTTCTTATTTAAGTATATTAATTATTTAATAATTAATTATTGCAGACCTTGTTTTATGCATTTTAAAGGAAAGAAACTTATATTCTTTATTTTATCTCACATGTTAATTTTAAAGAATTATGAATTTTATCTTTAGTTCTTTGCACAAATAAAATATTCATTAAGAAATATTAAAGAAAAATTGAATAATTAAAAATCATAAAATATAAGAAGACATTAATAAATCCTCATAACACATACACAGAGTGAATAATTTGTGAATACCAGTGCACTCTTTATATAGGTAAAAAAATAGTTAATCTAGCAAGTGGTGTCTGTACAATTCAATATCCTATGCAAAAGAATAAAGTTTGAGTCTTTCTTTTGACTAGGTAGAAACACTAACTTTAAATTGGTCATAAACCTAAATATATTATGCATAATATAAAATCATGCATCTCTTATAAAAATATAGCAATAAATCTTTATGACTCTTAGGGAAAAACTTTATTATAGTTAAAAAGTAGACATAACAAAAGAAAAATATTTATACATTTAACATTGTTCAAATTAGAGACATTGTTTTCCAATGACATGCTCAGAACAAACCACAGGATGGAAGAAAATGCAAACCATACAGCTCACGACTGACCATATAGAATGGATGAGGAAATTTTCCACAAACACAGTGAAAAATAATATGACTTTAACATGGACCTCAGGACTGAATAGTTACTTCCCCAGAGAAGATGTACAATTGCTAAAACACACAGGAAAGATGCGTGATAACATTAGCCATCAGACAAATGCAAACCACATCATTTTCGTGATGTCATCTTGTTACCAATAGGGTGAACATTCAGGTGACAGGGTTGCTGATGATATGGGGACATTAGGATACTCACACACTGTGAGGGAAATCTAAATGGTACAGATATTTGGAAAATAACCTGGCAATTTCTTAAAAGGCAAAACACAAAAGTTGGTCACATGACCCAACAATTGCGTTCTTTGAAATGTTTGAGAAAAAAAAAACAAAAAAAAACCCAACCACATGTCTACCTAAAAACCTGTTGGTGAGCATAAAATTATTATTCATAATAGGCAATATATGGAAAAAGCTAGTTTCTGTAAGTTGACACTTGGGTAAATACTTTGTGTACAATGGAACATTGTCCAATAATGAAAAGGGTTGAAGTTCAAATACTAAAAAATATACATAACTGATCCCCTACAGGTCATAAGAAACTGTAATTGATTCTAAATAGGCCCTGCATGTTGGAAGGCCTGAAAAAGAGTCATGACAAAGTAGACAATTCCAACAGGAAACAAGAGGATTCGTGACGATCCTCTCTGCCCTATTTATATTACTTACTGAACTTGCCTGCTTATTTTCCCCTTACTATGAAGTTTTCTGGAAGTACCTCTAGGCACATCTGTCTCCATTTTGCAATAGTTAATTTGTCCTTGGTTCAATGCTGAGGCATAGGTACTTGGCATGTGTGTTTCTTCTTCTGTCTATATTTGAGTATTTCTTGGGTCCCTGGAAGCTTTCCACAGAAGCTCATGTCTCTTCTACAGTTTACGGAGTATATCCTCCTGAGATAGAGAAGAAACAAGGAAATGCTATCAGAGAAATAATATGACTTTTCAAGGGTGACAAGGAATAGAGAACTCTTTATATTAGCTATGATTGACATTTGAAGATCCAGAATCCAGAAAACACGCAAAGGTATCTAACTTGGTAAATTTGATGGGATCTTGATGTGGGATTCCCCTCTGTATGCTGTGAATATGTTTTATTACCATTGATTAATAAAGAAGCTTCTTTGACCTATGGTAGGGCAGAATAGAGTTGGGTGGAAAAACGAAACTGAATGCAGGGAGAAAGAAAACAGAGTCTGGAGATGCTATGTAGCTGCTGAAGGAGACAGATATTGGAATCTTACTGGTAGGCCTTGTGGTGATACATTGATAAATAGAAATGGGTTAATTCAAAATGTAAGAGTTAGTTAACAAGAAGCCTGAGCTAATAGGCCAAGCAGTGTTGTAATCTGTGTGATTATTTGTGGGTCTGGGCTGTTGGGAACGAATGAGCAGTCTCCATTTACAGGATCTAATTTGATTCTTTCTAATTTTTGTCTAAAAGAGAACCAAGTTGATTTCTCTTTATTTAAAAGTTTTATATTCACAAATAGGGCAATTTCATGTATAAGATGTTTCCCTTATTACTTCAACAAATATCCAGTGGCAGAAAGAGTTTTAGAAAGAATGAAAAATAAAATCAAGTTCTGTGAGTAGAACAAAATAAAAGGAGGTGCTAACATATTGAGTTTAGTTTTTAAGTTTTTATTTTGGAGCAAGAACCAAATAAATATTGTTAAAGGGGAACAAAATAGTTTTTAAATTATTTGATCTCTATAACATTGGATAATGAAAGAAAGGGAAAAGCAGACTCAGCCATTAGAAAAATGTATAGATAAGAAATTAAATTACTTTCCATGCTACAGAAAGCACAGCGAACTGCACTGGACTCTAACAGTTCATCCTTCGTCTTTTGTGCTGTTTTATACTCTTGCCCGATGCGAAACAAAGCAGATAACAATTCGCTAGGTTGCTTACCTCCTCTTGTCATCTCTTCAGGTGAATTAACTCAATTACGTGCTTGCTTAAGCAGCATGTATACTAAAATTGGAACTACACAGTAGATTCACAGGGCCTAGAGCAAGGGTGACATGGAAGTTTATGAAGCATTCTATATTTTTCTCAGTAACATTATTGTTATAATAACCAACAGTTAAAAACACAGCAATAACAACAAGAAAGAAACTATAGGCTAATATCCCTGATGAACATAGGTTTAAAGAGTCTCAATAAAACGCTTACAAACCAAACACAGAAACACGCCATGAGTTCTTTTTAAAAGGAGTGTTTTCATTTACTCCCTTGACACTAGAAAAACTTTGATCTTTTTGAATTGCTTTAGAAAGTTTTGTATTATTACTTTAGGCTATAAATATCACAGCTAAGTTTTTTTTTATAAGCACAACATGGAGTAAATACAAAACTGTGTTTAATCTGTGGCATCTTATGCAATCAAACTCATGAAAAGATTGAGGTTTTCAATTGAGTTAAAGAAATGACCAGTACTTTGTCTTTTCATGATAATAGTTCTTATCTGAAGTTTAAAATAAAGTATTTCAATGTTTAAATCTTATATACAAATTCTTGATTTATGAAGACTTTCAATATTAAAATACTTGTTAGGATACAAAACGCATCGGTGAGATGATGTAATGCGATGGAGTAGCAGGACCACATCTTTGTCTGTTGATCCCCTAAGGCCATTGATTAACACAATCAATGGAGCAGCAGACCACTGATCTGGTTAAACACTCCTTGGTTTTATTGGCAATTTAGGAACTTGGGTTTAATGCTGAGGAAGCAATCTGAAAGCAGAAAATCTCATGTCTTTTACTTTTAAGGAAAGATTGTATTGTTGTTTCATCCAGGGGTGGAGAAGATAGAATGATCTGAGAGCTAAAGAACATACGGTTTAACTGTTCACTCAAGGGTTCTTTACAGTCAGATCCTTTGATTGTCTTTGAGGTGAAATTTTAGATAAAAACCAAATATGTGCTACAAACTGTACCGTGTACTTTGTAAGCTGCATGCTGAAAGAAAACTTGTTGTGTGTGGGGTGTGTGAATGTACATAGACGGGCCAAGGGTGATGGTGAATGTCTTCCTCAATCAATCTCCACCTGAGTTTTTGAAGCTGCCTAGTCTGACTGGTCAGTGATCTCCAAGTTACATCTGCCTCCCTACCACTGGGTTTTCGAACACACGCCACTCTTGCGTGTGCCTTCCAGGGATCTTAGTTTAGGTCCCCACACTCGTGTAGCAGGCACTCCAGCCACTCCCTGATCCATCTCCCCATCCATCCCGAGTCATTGCTTTTTTAGTGAATTATTTAACCCATGTACAATATTAGAAGTGATAATGTGTATTTATTTTGCACCATGCCAGTCATTTTCTATTTGTTCTGAGAACCTGGAACACTGAGGTTTATCTGCACAGGCACTGATGGTCTCATGAACTGAATGCTACTCCTGAGGCAGAGTGACTAAAGAAATTGTTAATTCCTAATAACCTTATGTTAAACAAAGCATCAGGTTACGGCACCACTAGCCATGAGTAGTCTCAAAGAACCATCACTCATCCTCCCTCTGCCTGTCTGGAAAATGAGTTCCTGCTAGTGTTTTTATTGCTTGGGTGTGCATGCCTTCTGGGAGGATGTGTAGAACTAGGGCTGGATGGGACTTGACATGATTTGAGTTTTTTTTTTTTTTTTGAAACAATATACTGTAGTTCTCTTGTCCTGAAAGGGCCAGAAAAAAGTAATTAACATATACTAACTAACACAGCTCACATGTTTTGTTATTGCACCATAAAACTGGGACACTATTGGCTGCAAACACAGGCTTTGCTATTCTGAAAGAACTATTGCCTGGGTTACCAGCATCAGCATCAAATTAACTGATCCCAAACATGCCAACATGCCTTCTTTGGGCTTTTGCTTACATAAATTAGGTACACAGACTACTAGCTTCATCTAAATAAAGAGTTACCATTCTTATTTTTGATCTTCCCAACATTTAACAGATTATATTCTGTTGGTGATATAAAGCTACAGAGAAAGAACTCACTTTAGCTATAGGAGGAAGGACCATTCCATAAGCCGTGTGCTGCTGGCAGGCCCATACTCACACGCTGTTATAGTAGAATGACAGAGTAAATTTTGTAGCAACGGCAGACAGTGTTTATAATAAAGCATTGTGGTGGTTGTAACATTAGTCAGTGTATAGACTTAATAACTAGATCATTGTTTTTATGAGCATCTTTTGGGTGTGGTATACCCAGCGGAGAGGAATATCAGAGCTCTCATTACACATTTTAATCACTGTTATTCCCAAGTACTGGAAACTGGGTCATTTTCTCACTGAGCTTTGTGGGAAACTTTCCATCATCCAATGAAGATAGTAGAAGTCATCTTAATTGTTAAAAATTGCCAAGTGATGAAAATGTGGACATTAAATAACATTATCCATTACTTCTTCTCTACCTCGGACCTTGTCTTACTGAGTTCTGTTTATTTCCTAAGACTTACCCTTCTATGAAATGCCTTTTTAAATGCTCTAGGCTAGGAATTCCATGTCTTTTACCTGGTACAAGTAATAGTCTCATGAAGATTCAGTTTTTCTTTGATATAGTTTTTTTTCAGAGAATTACTGAAAGAATGTCATATATCCAACTGGATTTGGTGTGTTTAAATATAGCAATTGTGCAGCACATGCACAAGATTTAGGCATGCAAGATAAACCAAAATAATTCATCCCACTTATGATATTAATAAATTTATGAGAAAACAAACAAAAGAAACAAGATAAAGAATGTAACAATGCTATACCTAGCATTGTTTTTGTTTTTTATTAAGATTTATGAATATTTTCTTTGTATATAATATTAAAATGAACATTCTATATACAGTAAAATATATATTTTTTTCTTAATTAATGTGTTTAATTTACCTATATGCAAAGACATTCACACTGTTTAGGATAAAAGGTTCTGCTAAAGACTCAATAAAAGAAGTTTAGACTGGTCTTGCCTGCTGTCTGTGTGGTGGAGGTTGTGTACACAGGAGAGAGTTCCATGAGAAAAGACAGGGTGTAAGAAAGACCTGAGTGTTGTCTTGTCGACTAAATGTAGGACATACTCATTAGGAACCTTTTGCAGTCTACAATTCATATCAATGTACTGTGGGTAGTTTGGGCAACTTATCAGTTGTTATTCCACTGGAAAAAAATGATATTTTCTGCCCCAACTACCATTAACTGCCCAATAGTTCCTCATGGAGTGGTGGGACCTCATTGGTAATCCCCTAACTTCAGTTATATATTAACTAGTTTGTGGTTGTCATAAGATACTTACAGTAAACCTAAATTTATTCCTTGACAATTTCTCTTATGTATAAAATATACTCTGATTACATCTACCCTTACCCTGTCTGATTCCCTTCCTATCTGCTCTAATCCTCCCCTTTTCCATTAAAAGTCCTTCTCCTGATTTCATGTCATTTTGTTTTGTAGCCTACTGATACACACAATATACACATGCCTGTGGCTTTGTAGCTAGTCATTGAAACATAGGAGACTCATCCATCGTCTATACCACTGAACCCAATGACTCCTCCTCCCTCAACATCCATCTATCAATAATCAGTAGATCCCCAGGCAAGTGATCTCCATGAATTCCAAATACCATTCATGAGTAAAGATTAACAGGCCCAGTCTTATGCTAGGAACCTCAGTTGCAATAATCTCATGAGTGAACTAATCATGTAAAACCAAGAAGATATTGCTCCACATCCTTCTTTTCCATTACCCTTTCTGTCTCTTCAGTGATGGCTGAGTTTTGGAAGGAGTGATATGGATGTCTTAGGGATGGGTATTTAATAGTTACTCAATCTCGGAACTTTTAGTAGCTATGAGTCTTTTCATTCTTTTCCACTCAGTGCAAAAAAAGCTTTTCTGAACAAGGTTGAAAGTAACACTTGTCAATGGAAATACACAAATATTTAGATGGAACTTTGACACATGTATTTAGCAAAACAATATTAAATTCTGCTCCTCCAAAGTCAGCACAGGACACATTTAAGAACATGAGGCTAGTATGTTAGAATTTTTTATGTTCAAATACAAAATTTCTATTGTTATCTAAACTGTTATTTTGATTGTTTTATCTATATTAAAATAATATAATAGAATGTAAGAATGAGATCTCAAATATCAGATCAATGTTTTTATTTTTTAACCAGTAATTTTTAACCAGTTATTTTAGTTAACCAGTAATTCATTTTCCTGCTCATATTTTATTTATTTAACTATCTTCAGCTCAACTGACACTTTTAAGTCAGACGTTGGACTGTGTCTTAGGGATAGATAAGTAATAGAGGCATTGTTGGCAAGCACACAGAATTCAGAGAGAAAGGTAGCGAAGCCATGAAAAAACTGTAGTGTAGTATAGCAGGGATGATGGCTGTAGAGAGAGGAGAAATGTTAAACTGTATGAACCAAAGACATTTTTCTGGAGGAGGTGACACTTCTACTGAAGGTCCAAAGGGAGATTTTAGCAGGGGTATTTCCCAGGCGTTGGAAACAATGTATAGGAAATGCTGAATTTCACCTTCATATTTGTGAACGTATTATACAGATAAGTAGCAAGGCAAGGAAAAATGATCCTTTTCATTATATTATTAATAAGAAATAATTATGTGAACTACTTCACATAATAGGTACTATGTTGATGGGAAGGAGAAGTTTGTTTTGTGAATGGTTGGTTTTATTCTCAGCTTTGTTGTAAAATAACATTAGTAATTTTAAATTGCCACTTAACCTATGTCAGGTCAGATGTGATTATCTTAGTGAACATGATGTATGCTTTAGAGAGGTAAGAGGGATTGCACTTTGCTTAGATTCCAATGAATGGATAGGAAAACTGTGTAAACAGCGAGTAGTGTGTTCTTTTAGCAAGCTTCATGAGAAAAAGAAGGTGAAATGGATTATTCACCTTTGCCCCTCCCATGTCTCATGCACTTTGCACGTATGACATCTATTGTTTGTATCAAGGAAACTTAGCAACCACGTATACATTTATTTTCTCAGTGTAGGTCAGAAGTCTCCAACAATTGTGCTGAATGCCCA